TTTTGCGCTGGCGCTAAAAGAGAGTTTTTTGGGTTTTTCGCGCCTTAGGGGTTCTCAGTCTTGTAGGGTTTTGGGTGGGTTGAAAAGCCGTAGCTTGGGGCTTAAGGCTTAAGGCTTGAAAGCCAAGCACCCTTGGGTTCTATAGTGCCTTAGCTCACTTAGGGTTATGAGGATAAGGCTTGGGTTTAGGGCTGGTAGGTTTGGAGGGTCGGCACCATTTACATCAAGAAACTGTTGAGCTGGAACTTTGGAGACCAGTGAGTCTTAGCATAGGCGGTAGTTAACTGGGCTTGGGATTTCGGGTTTCGATGCTGAATTTTGTTTAAGCCTTGGGGTTCCTGTGCTCGCGCACTCGTGGAACACCGTCTTTTCCTTGAGCAGCTCCACAGCAGGAAGTGCGTAGGTAGGAGCAGTCACGGACCCTTAACGACCCTTTAGTGTGGAGTTCTAGAATAGAAAGAGAGAGGCCGCAATCAAGTCTTGCTTGAGAACGCTAGAACAGAACCGGTACCTCGAACACCGTGCAACACCCCCATAGGCACAACCCAAAATAGTTGGTTCGAGATGGTCATCCAGAAAACTTGTCCCGGTCAAGGTTTGGCGCTAATTGGGGGGTTACCAACAAAAACCTCTACCAGGTTCCCTTACTTTAAGCTCCGAAGACAAACAGAAATAGTCGGAATGCTATCGAGCCAGCAGAGCACCCAGCCGTAAACTACAAGGGGCTAATGTGTCAATGGTGTATGCTTACAGTAGCTGCTTTTGAGGACCCTCAACATGTTCTGAAAAGAAGAGCATCGCCGAAGGAAGGAGCCGTCGCAGCAAGCACTATGATAGGAAGAAGAGCACCCGATAGTGAACGAAGAACAAATTACGAGTCAGAGCCAAGGATAAAACTTGAAAGGAAAGGCATGATAGGCAACAAGAGCGTGCTGAGAACACCTGTTAAGTTATCCTGCTTCCTTTTCAATCGAGGCTGCAGAGATGTCCCGCTAGATACACTACGGTTTCATGTGTGTTGTTTTGTGCCTTGTGGGTTGCACGCACACGAAAGGTTTCCGTGTTCGTGGTTCGTGGAGGTCGGGATTCGAGAAAGCCTTTCAGAAGCTCTGAGCACTGGAACCCTGAAGCCCTCGGCCGTGAGCCCTTAACAGAAACCTCAGAGCTTTAAAGCCTGAGCTCTTAGCCCCAAACTCCAAAAAAGCCCGTGCCCACATGCGCGCCGAGCCCTGCAACGACTCAACCTTCAGCCCCCAGCTCAACACCTAGCCTTGAACCTGGACCCTCCAACTAACCCCTATTTTTCGTTAAACACCCACTGTAAAGGACCATAAGAGATCCATTAAAGGGCCCTCAATTGAGGGCCGGGAAGCTCCAAGTCTGTTCCGGTTGCTCAGCAAGGCCCCCGCAACACCTGGAAAAAGTTCCTGCAAGTCAGCTTAGGGTTTGAGGGTTTAACGGTTGCAAGGACTTGGGCCGAGGGTTTAGTATTTAGGGTGTAGGGTAAACCCTAGACCAAACCCTAAACCCTACGTCTAGGCTTCTGAGGTCAGGGCGGTCTATCAACAAGTATCTCCTCAGCCAGACCCAGACCTGCCCCTCTTCTGAGAAAGGGTCACTATTTTGGGGGATCCCTATCTTAAGGATCCTACTATGCTGGATTCTATATAGGGGCTCCGTATTTGCTCACTCCCCTATTTAACCCTGAATCCTGCAGGAGATTGCAATGTGGCACTGCGGTCATCGGATAAGTTTCAGGAATGTCTCGGCAGGAAGCCGAAAGGAGTTGGAGGCCTTGGGGGCTAAGGGTTTAGGCTTATGGTTAGGTTTTTGTTGGGGGTTCTGGGTTTAGTGTTGAGGGTTCTGGATTTGAGGGCACCAACCATGATAGTCATGCGAGACTTGCAGGTCTAACGATGGGAATCTGCGACTGGCTCATGCACCTGCTGCAGCATCCTGCTTGAGATGACATGGAACTCTTACTCCTAAAATCTCGAACCCCGATTGCACCTTAAACCTGCACTGCGGGACATGCTATTTCAGACCCGGCAACTCTAAGCCCTCCCGATAACTGCAAGCTTCGGAGATTTCAAGCCCAGCTTCAAATCTAACATCTTCCAATCCAAAGATGCTAACACCGTGACCTTGGATGCCAGCTCACCTAACGCCTTTTCTACATCCGGAACCCTAACCCTTGTTCACAATAAACGCCTACTCTATCGGCTGAGAGTCCATGGCCCAGGGCTTGGGTGCAGCCCACACCGCAAGGAGGGGGTGTCATAGCGTCTCATCCAGAACCCACCGCGGCCGGTTCATGCTAGTCCAGCTTCCCAGGTCATAGAGGCAGACCTTGGCATCTTGGTTTAGGCCCCGGCTGGATATCGTTATATCCGCCGCCTGGACAGCACTCCGCCCCCAACCAAATGACCATGGCCCGTAAGTAGCTGAACCATTCCCGGACCACCTCCGGAGCCTGGTAGTCCAACCGCGGTTCAGCTTTCCTGTCCACCTTCTCCTGAACCAGGCAATGGAACACAGCATGCTCCGCCTGATCGCCATGTCCTATGCGAACATTCAGGGGCCAGCATGGAGCACCAACATGCAAAGCTTTGCGAGGCGGGTGCTGTAATACTCCTCTGACCCATGGTCATAAGCATAAGATCGGCTGTGGCCAGGCGTCGGAAAATCATTTGGCTTTTTTGGCGCTCACACTCGGTCGGACGAATCCAGGCAAGGTCTGCAGATAGGGGTTTAGTTTAGGGCTCAGGATCTTAATCCTGGAATTAAGTTAGAGAAACACAGCCCGCTAATTAAAGACCTTTCAAACATGCCTGAACACCAAGTTCTTGACCTTACACCTGAACACTATATTAGCCCTGCAGCCTCAACCTTTCCCGCCTTTCCCCAACCCCCTCTTCCATGATCAAAGTGGGATGGAAAGTTGTGACTGGCATTTGGAGTGCCCTAATTGGAGTTGTCACAGTCAGAAGTCGACATATGACGCATGCACTATGTGCACCACGACAAGGGGCCCCATTGCCAGCAAGAAAGAACCCTCTGCAGAAGCTACACCGAAGCCCCTGGTTAAAGCCAATAATAAGGACCAGAGAAATTGGAATAGGGCTTTGGGGTCCTTATTGCTCAATTATAATAAGAAACCCTAGGAGTAATGGTGGTAATTCCGCCCTCTATCCCTCATAAATGACCGTAAAAGGGATCCTAACCTAGCGAACGCCATGCTGTTGAGCCCCTTGGGCCTTCGGCGCCGGGCATCTCGCAGTGCCAGACTTGGCAGTGCCTTAGAAGAGCTTTTGGGGGTTGGGGCGTAGGGTTAGACGGGTTTCGGGCATAGATTGGGTCTAGGGAGCTGGCCAGGGTTCCAACAAGGCGTTTCGGGGCTATTCGACACAACACTCGGGAGTTTAAGGATTAGCACGGAATGGACATGTTCCTGCTGAACATGTGCGTCAGAACTGCGTACTAGTGGCCTTCAACCCCAATTGTCAAGCAAAGCACTCCTTTATCCTCAGCTCCTCTGCACCCTAAGTGCAGTAAATCACAAAGCCGGGGTCCTAAATACCATGCATCCCTCATGTTGAAAGCGACGGTGTGATGGTGGGCTTCCTGTGAAGACTATTTGCTCAAGTACCATGAACCCTTAACCCTTCGAGCCAGCAATACAAACGCAAATATGCTTGAACATTGAAGACATGTGGGGTCCAAATCTGAAGATCTCCCGGCATGAGCCAAATGTATGGCAAGGGCAGCCTTCGCAAAGACAGCAGTGTATCCTCAGCGTCTAGCCGCAACTGCTGCAAACTCCAAAGTATGCCGTTATCTGTCTATCCGCCTCCACACCTCATAAAGCTTGAGAGCATCATCAGATTGCGCAACAAAGGTGCCTTCTTGGAGCAGCTGCGCATCAAACTATGAAACAAATACCCCTCAAGGAAGTCCGAAAAGCCTGCAGATTAACGATGTGATCTTTGTTTCACTAAGTAAAATAAAATATAACTCGGAGTGAAACCACTCTTACTTGGGGCATCCTACTTCTAGCTTCTAGCCCTTTCCACAAGCTATTTTTAAAGTGCCCTGAAGCTCTATGTAGAACCAAAAAAATCACAAGCCATGGCCAAGCTGGAGGGCTCAGCGGATACGCTACAGGCAGCTAAAGCTCTCCCCTCAAAAGAAAAACCAACTAAATCTCGGAAGTTCTGAGGACTGGGCTGGTTGGGCCTCCTCGGATGGTGAAATCGAGCGTCGACTTCCGATGCCTGACACTGGGAGAAATGGCGAGGACCGATGTCCACAGGCGACTTCGGGGGGTTTCAAGCTCTCTGTTTCAGGTGTGCTTTGCAATCTGGCACTCTTACATTTGCATGAGCAGCAGCACAGCCCATCCCGATGACCACATCCGTCTTAAGCTGAGATTCATGACGTTGCATGGGCAATGGCTCGGTTGAAACAAGCCAGTTTCGATACTGGCAGCAACAAACACGAGTCGCGTAGTCGAAATTTGACAAAGCGTAAAGACCATAGTGGTCGCAGTAGCAGCAAAAGCAACGGCGGCAGTGGCACGGGCCACAGCAGCAGTAGTTGTAGCGGATTGTAGCGGTAGCAGCAGCAGTAGCAGTCGCAGTGTCAGTAGAAGCAGCAGTGGCAGCAGCAATAGCCGTAGCAGTAGCAGTAGTATGTAGCAGTAGTCGTCGTCGTTGTCCTCGTGCTGCTACTACTACTACTACTACTACTACGACTACGACTACGACTACGACTACGACTACGACTACGACTACGACTACGACTACGACGACCACGACGACGACGACGACGATGACTACGACGACGACGACGACTACTACTACTAGGCACTTCCAAAACCACTGACATTTCCCATATGCCATAAACCAGAACACAGAGAATCGGGTCCGAGAGGAAAACCGTAAAGCCTATAAACACTGGAGGCCATGATGCATTGTCCTAGATATAGGTAAGGTCCTGACCAATCGAGGCACGCTCTCGATCAACTGGCGCAACCTTGCGAGGACACTGACGAAGCAGCCAGCCAGCAAATGCTAAAACGTGTTGTAATGACTCGGGTCAAGCAGTCCCGGCTCACAGCTGAATCCACAGTCAGTCTGAGTTTGGGGGTTGGTGCTTCGACACGTCGTTCAAGGTGGAGGGCTGTTCTACCTGCAAAGCGGTGGTACGGTGCCGCAGCTTGTCTGCACTTGTCACTACGGTACATGTGCACCTTCTTAGCATGTGGGCTTGGTTTATGTCCAAGCTATAACAAAGTGTTCAGAGTCAGTAGCCCTGAAATCTGCCAATGTAGCAGATGCAGCACAAGACATGCCCCACAGGAGTCCGAACATTGACAAAATCGCGAATGAATCTTTAGCCGAATGTCGCAGCATCAAAGCTTCTCACCGCCAGAGCTGGATGCATGGCAGCACTTCCTGACATGTTCTGGTTGGTCTGAAACTAGTACCTCGACCTGACCTGTTCGAACCGTACGAGTAGCTTTCGAAAGTCCCTGGAAGCCGGGCCTGAAGGTGCATCGAATCTGGTTGCAGTCATTGGACTGGAACAATTGGAATCAATCTCCTGTCATGGGTGCTACTACATGCTTGGCCAGATCACGCTCATAACTGACACTGCAAGCAGGATCCGTTGACAACTTCCGGGATGCGCCCGCGAGCCTCCAAGTCTGACATTTCTTCGATCACTGCTTCCGAAGGTGCGGTTGACATTGATGATTTGGAAATCTGACGCGCTTTCCCAGTTCCGTCGCCTCATCGACACTGCATCATACAGCCCACTGCAGCGGACAAACGACAAACTGTCCTGCCGCTGGAACCAGAGAGCGAATTGCGCAGGCGTAGTTCTAGCTGTGAGGCTGTGCGCACAGAAACAACGGTCGCAATAATTCGAGACTCCTGCTGCTTTCTGCTACAACAACGACGACGACTGCTCCACGAGCAGCATGGGCAGAAGAAGGAGCCCTGCAGGAGAGGGAAGTACGCATGCCAGAGTCTTTGACCTCGTCACCAAGGAAGGCATAGACAGCTATGGTGGTGCGCTACCTCCCCAGCCTATCTCACACTCCTCCCACGAGCACCGGGCCAACGACTAGTAAAACAACATTATGCCGAGGGAGAGCGTGAGAGCAATGAGAATGACAACATCTCTTTCTCTTGCGTCCAGGGAGTGATCTTCCAGAAAGATGGAAGCAGAGCAATGACTGGTGGTGCTCGGTGCTTTCATCAGTGGAGCTCTGGAAGTGTTGCACGCGAATAGCAAACAGTCACAATACGATGCGAGGTCGTCGCCAGCACGCTCAAGGCTACGGCTACATAAGTACTTCTCTGTAGCTTCCGGGCAGTGCCTGCGCTTGGATCATCAGAGAACAAAGCAGGTTTCCTTTCGAGTTTGCGAACAATGGCACCGTGCCTGTTTGCGTGCGTTGATGTACGTTGTCTTTCTTGGACGCTGATAAGTCGCTCCACATCGGAATTGTGCTCGTGTTGGATAAAAACGTCCGAACACTGTCCTCAACACCTACAACTTGGTTTCCTTTTCAAGTTGTCGTTTAATGTCGACGTTCGTTCGACTGGGGGCTTGGTGCGGTTGGTGGGCACATGCGGACACAACACAACCTTCAACCTCAGACACCCATCTGATGGTCCATCGCTGAGAGCTGGGCCGAAGCGCCCCACGGGCACCATACAAGGTTTCGGAGCGGACATCATGTGCTCCAAGCCTGTCACAGCGTGCTCTTCCGCAATGGTCATTAACAGGGGCCGGGGTTATGGACGTCACAAGCCAGGTTTAGGGACTTTTAAGGGCTTTGGCGCTCACACTCGGACAAGGTGAGGCATGTGGCTCGTGGGTTTTAGGGTGTTTTGGGCTCTGAAGGAAACGAAACCTGGCGGAGGCCGCACGGCTTGGAGATCCGCCTGAGCACAGGTCCAAGCACACCATCAGAGTCAACAGCACCGGGAACTGCCTGCTTCTGGGCCACCTTGGCCCAGGCAACCTCCGATGCATGAGGTGCCTGGGAAGCCTGGGAAGAGAATCAAGAGTTCGGATCTTGCGCATGCCTTTGAAAACTAATCTGGCTCTTCACTGTGCATCCAGAAACCACGGGCCACGGTTGCGGCAAGAGAGAAGGATGTGAACTCATCTCCTTGCACGCATGGTAACCCGACATTGCATCATGACCCCTACATCTTTGCAAGGCGTGTGCCGGAATCTGATTCCTCTGAATTGTTGCTACCAACTTCCTACAAAAACAAAATGACAACAAGCAGTGCCAAGAGCATGCCACGCTTCCGGAGCCCACTGCATCGGAAAGGATGTTTTGCCGCTTTGGTTCTGAAGGAAGGTAGCAAGTAGCTGCTGTGCATAAGAACCTGCAGAATTGCGCCCAGGCTGGTTGCAAGCACAGAGCGCGGTTCTCTGTTGCGGCAACTGCCTTGGGTCATCTCCATGGTCCTTCTTCAAAGCCCTGGCCGAACGTCTCAAGACGCCGACAACGGAGCTTCTACCAGAGACTGAGTTCCTGGCTGACTTGCCTTCCAGGTGCGCGTCAAACAGGTGCCAATGCGAAGCGGTACAAGCTCTTGAGCCATGCAAAGCGTATGTGCAGACAGGTGCAATGCAAGTCGACACTCCAGAGGAAGATGCAAAGCTTTCGGCATACCCGAAGCCACCCTCCCCCGGAGTTTTGGACCACGTGTCCTTTGAACAAACATCCGCAATCCACAAGAGGGTTTCGGATGGCCCTCCGATCCCTGGGCTGAAGGGTTCGATGATGGGGCAAGGGCTCCAAGATGCCAAGGCCACCTATAGGGCCAGCTATCATGCACCGAATTGCTGAATCTTAGCCATGGCTTGGCCTGGCTGAGCTTGGGGAACTTACCATCTTGATTTTGGAGTACTGGGCGGCTCAGCCAGAAAGCTCGGCGAAGAACAATTGCACTACAGTTGCTCCTCGACGGCGATAACTCGCATTCTTTGGCCAGCCCCATGAACGGTGCAACGGCAACCAGTCTGCTTGAGGATAAGCACCCTTTGGCCCTATCACCATCCTGCATCAATCGAAAGGGGCTTATATAAGAAGCCCCTGCAGCAATTCATAGGTCAATTGCAAGATCCTCGGATCAAAGCTTGCAGTTAGTGGAGGCTTGCAACTTCCGCAACAGGAGGAGGCAGACTGTACTCTCTCAGGTGAAGACGTGCTAGCTCTAGAGTTTGTGGACTGACACAAAGGATATCGCCTCACGAGCGTTTGCTAATGTACGAGGCGAGGAGTACCAGCACCACTCACACTCTGGAGCTCGCCAGCTCTTGTCCTGGCACTGATGCTGCTCTCCCTGCCCCCTCCCCTCCTGAAACCGCATTCAAACATTGCCCGCATGGGCTTGTGGACAGTGCCTCGCTATTCGTCCGCGCACTGTGTCACGGAACAAAGCAATGCCACGGCGCTTGAAACCACGATGGTCAGCACGCGATTTGTGCAACATGCTCATACGACCGGTCATATCGCTGGCATGGAAGACGGGTATCAAGTCGAGTAGCATGGAGTAGGCGTTGCTTCAGCGAAAACGTGTCACGTTTTTCAAGTTCCGGGCAACCGATATAAAACACTAGAAACACTAGATCTGTGTGCAGCTGACTAAGATCTCGAAGTATGCCAGGTCTCATCCCTGGTACTGAGCCAAAGTCAGGTGCTTCTGGCTTCCTCAGGGAAGGCAAGAGATCGAAGTGACTTGGCCGGCCTTTAGCAGGCACTTATCCCATGCTACCGGGGGATTCTGGAGGTGCTATGCCCTGCCTGGGATACAATAGCTTTAGAAGATTTTAGAAGGTTGGTCATCAATGAACCGGCTTACTTCTGGGATTACCACTCGGCAGATGGCGCGGCTGTGTAAAACTTATACAGCTCTCGTCTCTTGGACTACCAAGATGAATCTGGCCTCACATGCTCCACCAAGGTAGAGCACTTGCATTGCTAAAGCTTGCAAACGTTTGGCACGTCGGTGGCTCAGATTGACCTTGGCACTGCCTACCTTCCCAACAAGCTTGCGGGCTCTATTGAGCTATCGTTTGCACACGTCACCGGCGCGCGCACCGCACACATCTGCACCCGAAGTGATCTATCAACAAGCTTCTATTTGCAGAGCGGGGCGAGCGCGAGCTCCCCAGTTCAGCCAAAAATACCAAGCGAGATCTGGTGTCATGCTGAAACTTACGAATTCAATGTATCCTGGAAGGAGCTGATATATCGGTTCGTACAGCTGGAGTATCAGCTCGGAGTGTCCGGTAACCCAAGCAGCTGAGCTAGCCTGCAGCGATCACTGCTCCAGCAGTCTCGACCACATGTTACACATTCAGGACTGGCTTTTGTTCTAGCACTTACACAACCATATTCCTTTTGGTCCCTTCCAAACAAGTTTTGACTGTGAATGAATCACTGCTCGAAGATGCACTATCTGAGTGTGGGCCGAGACAACTGCAATTCGAATTAGTTCAGCACGGCAGTTTCACATCTTGAAACGGGACTGTAGCAATCCAGCGTAGTGCTTTGCAAGTATCCCAGAGAGCAAAGATGTCCGGATCCCACGTGCGCATAGCAGCAGCAACCATGCCACTTGTCTAAAGTCTCCATGCACACACACACACACACAAGGCATTTCCTAGCACATGGCAGGGATCCGATACCTCGTCAACCCGGGGGTCTGCCGCAAAGCATTCTTCGCAGCAAGTGACTTAAAACCAGTTGAAAAACTTTGGTCCAGGAGCCTTAGAATCAGACTCAGAGGAAGGCTGCTGGGCTTCTCTTGTGATATTTAGGTTACTACATACGGTGCTCCGAGTCAGCGTTGCCACACCATGGCTTTTGCGGGCTCACGACTGAAGCTGGGAAAGATCTTCTATAAGCTGATCGTTGCGACCATCTCGCCACCGCCAAATCGCTTGCGGGCAGCCTTGGCAACATCTTGAAAGAAAGATGGTTCAAGACTTAGCTCAAGCAAAGAAACCGTGGCACGAGACCAGCACAGGTCTTCATGCTACTCTTAAAGCAAGGGCTAGCTCGTACGTCTCAGTCCAGCCATCTGTCCCGGCGGGAAGCTGCTATGATGTGTCTCCCATTGGATGAATTCCTGAGCAAGATCAGGCCCAGCTTGCAGAGGCGTACAGGGAGCATCCACAGAGTTGGTTGGGAGAGCTGAACTCTGGCATTCGGTGTTTCTTCCTCTGATTCGGCTACAGGACACCCAGAGGCTTCGTGAGCGCGCTCAAGTTGCAAATCAAGAAGCAGCAAAAGCACCGATGCTTGCAGTGAACGAAGAAACGCGAAGCTACTGCGAAAAGGAGCGTGCTGTGCTCGAGAGATGGGGCCGAATGGGCGTGCTTTTTCAGAAGGTCTGCACAAAACCGGTCCATGTCTAACCACGACGTTTCCTTGGCTTTGCTGCTGCATGTCCAATTATTGCACACCCTTTTGCGATCTTTTATAGTATGCTGTTTCTCGGCCAAGTACTGCTCACTGAGCATGGGTTCAACTTGGTTGAGCTCGCCCGCCATCAACGGCAAGCGGCAAGTTACCCTTTCGCCGGGGCAAGGCAGGTACGACAAGGCAATCAAGCTTTGCCAATTCTTTCAAGGAGATCTTGATTGACCACCAGTCCCTATTTCATCGACATGGTAGAATCTGGCAGAATGCAGGGCGAGTGTCTGCAATTTGGCCCAAGATCTTTGGAGGAGCTGTTCGACACGGAGAGCCTTCACAGTATCGGGGCAGCGTGAGACACTGAAGGATAGGGGGGGCTACGACTGTCTAACCTAATGCACGTCATACGGTAGACACCAGAATGAAGAACACGCCCTCAGCTGCGCGTGTTCGTCTGCTTGCTCGACCTCTGGGCCGCCTAGCTAGCACGCGGCCTTTCTGATCGGGAGAAACGACAGGCCAAGCCATCCCATGGGACAGCAGCTTGAGTCCAAGGACCAGTGGCAGCCAGCCTCAGTGCCCTGACAGCACTCAATCACCCGCTGAGCGATGTAGTTGCCGAAGCGATCCTGGGGGCGCTGGAGTCTCTCGGAGACGCTCGGAGAAGAAGGCAAAAGAGGGAGGACCATCAAGTTTTGATCTGAGAGGATGCTCCCATATTGGTGCCGTTTCTCCGGCAAAGCTGTTGTCGATGCTTAGTTAGCCCAGTAGATGTGCTTTGCAAAAAGTCTCGTGGCATGTCTGGTCGTGTTTGTCCCCAGCGCTGTGGAGCGATTAGTCGTGAAATAGATGTTACGGCTTCTAGTCTTAGCCCTCTCCTCATATAAACTCCTCTCTGCAGCGCATCCCGCAGAATATCCCCGCATGCTAGTCTTGTTCCCCTTCCTGCACTCATCTCAGCCCTGCGCACCAAATATGCTGAGGCAATTTTCCCGCACAGTTATCCAGTGGAGCACCTACGAACTGTTTTAATTGCAGGGTGCAGATAACCGAAGTAAAGTATCCCGCGACCTGCCTTCTTTTAAGGAGGGGATGCTCCAAGTAAATATTTTGCGTCTTCGATACTCTGTGGCCACCTCATATGTTCCGCTTCCGTAGGTCACTAGATGCCGAGCCAGCTAAATTTGAATGCTGTCAAGGCCTATACCAGCCAAGCTTCCAACATGAGTTGTAGAAAAGGTGGGTTGCTTCCACCGGATCCATCCAGGAGAAGGGCTCCCATCAATGCAGCTCTCTCCTAAGAGGTTGAACTTTGAAGTTACTTCAGCACTACCGGGATCCAAACAAAGGGATGGTTGCCCTCTAAGCCCTTGGCGCATCTGAACTCCTCTTGACGTTCATCACTCGACACCATGATGCATCGCTCCACTACCTGGAAGCACACGAAGGATGTAGTCACTTGCTGCATCGAGATTCCCTCTGAGGCACTCAAGGCTCTCAGGATTGATCATCACCTCCGGTGCTGCAAGGCAAGACCAAGACCAACTTGACGAATCCATCCGGCCACGTTGCCAAGCTGGAGTGTCGATTCCGGGAGAACTTCAGAATATCCTGGTTTCGTATCTTCGCATCAACGTAACGCAGATTTATCGCATCATCTCACGAACATGAGAAGGGCCCTCAGCTACCCTTCGAGGTGGGCATGACGTTCTTACAAGCACAGCAGGACTCTTGCCAGTTCCACCTCTGACTGAAAGTCGCGCCCAACTCTGTCCCAACAAGACATCGCCAGGCTTCTGTGCTGATTGCGTTGATCACGAAGCGCGCAGCAGTTCCTGATCCTCGGAGAAGGAGGCTGCGGACGACCTGAGATTTGCTAAAGAAGATGCGGCGGTGCAAAGCTTCTGCACATGACCAGACGCTACGAGTACCAGTGCAGTGAAGTCGCGTTGTTTCCATAGGGATCCTTACACAGTCGCTCCAGCTGGTCCATGGGTTGGAGGATGCTCTGAAGCCTGAGACGCCAAGCACTGCATGCACGAGACTTCCATTAAGACCTGACATCGCGGACGCGCGGACAGCTGAAATTTGATGACCAATCGTAGCCATCAGCTCCCATCCCGTGCACGTCTCCGAGCTACGCTTACGACTTACGACGGGGAACATGGGAATGTTATACAGGTGTTGGGACCCTATGGAGGGAAAGAAAACCCTACGGCCCTACGCCTCCAAAACATGGCCAAAGCTGCAGCTCCGGCATCTCCGGATGCGATGGACAACGCTCCACCAGGCGCTGCAGAATACGACAAGCCTCTGCTATCCGCTCAGACCTCCTACACCCACAAAAAAGAGCCCCAAAAACCGAAGCCAAATCAGAATGATACCTCAACGGTTAAAAAAAATCAAGGGCCCACGTGAAGCGAAACAGGCCGAGGCGTCAACAAAAACCCAGCAATGGCCACGCACCGCACGACCTTCCCTCTCAGAGTTACAAGATGTTACAAGAACCCCTACAGTTCAGGAAGCAGAGCCAGGCTCCCACTGCTGCCAGCTTCTTGACTCTTGCGTCATGAATCGCCAAGGCTCGTAGATATGCGTGGCGACGGAGGCAGCATGCCCCTGCCAAGGTCTGCCAAGTGCCAGCGCAAATCGCACAGTATCATTATCAGTCACTATCACGCATTAAAACACTGCTCTGACTAGACTGGCACCCGTTGCGGTACATAGCACACACTCAAGCACAGACACGCCTGCCTGCACGCACACGCACACGCACCGCATGCATGCACGCACACATGCACTCACGCACGCACGCGCACAATCCTGTTAGCACACAGAGTGAGCCAGCATAGCCTCAAGCACCTGTAGATGTGCCCGAAGGCAACCCCAGCACTAAGTTTGATGTCGAAGGCTTTCTGCGATCTTCCTGGCAGGCCTTCAACTCAAGGATGAGAAAGGAAAGGGACTCTGGCGGGAAAACCTCCACGCATCGCCTCGTCGGGGACGCAGAAGCGAAACGACCCCAAGGCCCAAGGCTCTTGATCTGCTTGAAGATTCCCATGTCCCCTATAGAAACTCTGCTGCACACTGGCTGCATCTCGTCTTTGGGAGACAGAGTTTGCTCCCAATTGGTTCGCCCGACTAGCCCGGACAGAAATTTAACGGCAAAGACTTTTGCAGCTTCTGAATTACGATTCAGATTGTGGATTCTTGCTGTCTTAGAATGTTGCTCAACCCTGTAACGATATCCTTGCCACAAGGCATGTCAGAGGTACTTTAGGAAAGGGGTTCCCAAACTTATACTTTTTCCGCGATTGCTGCCATGTGTGTGTGTGCACATGCGCACGCATTACAGCCATCCGGCTCTGAATTCTTCAGACCTCCTGCCAAAAATGCGCTGCATCGACTCGAAGATGTCTGCCGAGTGGCTGCAGCACGAAGTTTCCGTGCAAATGTTGGCTGCATGCTAGCCTTGTGCACGGCTGCATGATCTTCAGTGGGAGATCAGTGCATGCGCTCGAGCACTCTTGTGCAAGACTACAATCTGAGCCGAGGAACACTTTGCCTCGCAGTTCGAGGGGCAAGCAACTTTGCAGCTCTACTGCTGCTACGTCCAGCATGCGCTGCATCACGACGCAGCCGGTTTTGTCCTAAGCCAGGCAACCGTGACTTTCGACATGTTGGCATCGGTATGGATACGCTGTCTGCACTGGCTGCAACAAGTAGCCTTCGTCAGCTTGAGCAAATGCCCACGAAGGCGTTGGACGAGTCTCACCCGATATTGTGACACATCCCTGCAGTGCCTCAACGGCTGCATGAGACTGCCCAAGATACCAGGAGAGTCGAAACTTCCCAGTGCTGGCCAAGTGCTCCAAAAGCGCTATGAGGACTTTGGACGCGTGGACATCACCTGAAGCGACATGTAGGCACGTCTCGGGGGAACGAGCGCCCCTGAGGATCCCGCATGCCAAGTCCGGCAGCTCCGGGAGCACAGCTGCGACAGCCACCGCAAGGCCCAGCGCACTGGCGCTGGCCAAGCATTGGACCATCCCCTCCGACCCTGCTTCAAGTGCAAGTGCAAAGCTGCAGTACTATGCCGCTCGTCTGAATCGTCTGGCTTGGTATTCGCGCCTACTTCCGTCCTGATAATCTTCACGATGTAGTCTGAAGCGCGTGCGCTGGGACACAGCAATGACACAGGTCTTGCTTACTGAGTGTCCATGGCCTGCGATGTCGGTACCGGCAGCTTCAGGGCGAGCAGCGGAACTTCGGAGGCCCGTGTCGCTCGGAGACGTTTGGCCGCTGCCATCCGGCTGTTCGGCCCCATTCCCTGCATGAAACATGTTTTGGGGCGCAAGTGCGGAGGCTTCGTGCGTGTCACGTCGTGGGTATGCGACGAGACAGCCAAATGGGTTGGTTGTATGCGGCTGAGTGACGCGAGCAGTGATGCTGCACTCCAGGCCTGATCCAAAGAGGCGGGGCACAAACTCCGCGCGGGATTCCAGGTGGGTCGCGTCTCGTGCCAGCTGCTAGAAAGCTCTGAGCCTATCATTTGCAGGCAAGGTCTTCTGCACGAAGTGCTCAAAGCCTGCCATTTGTGATGAGGAAAAGCTTGCATGGTGACAAATTCCCCACAATGCCACATTGATAACCAATGTCGCACGCCCTTAGTTTCTGAATTGGCCTGGCCGCCTGGCCCACCTGCAAATGCGTTGCCATAATGAATGCATGTTGTTCCTCTGCCTGGCGGAGGCAGGAATGTCAGTAGCGTGGGTGCCACTGGCAGCTCCTGCGCCGGGAGATTCACCACTACTCACACATGGTGTTCAATTGCACGGCACGAGTTTCAGAGTCCAGACACATTTCAGCAGCCACATCTACCATTCGACTTTTGCGAGACAGCGTGGCGCGGAAGCCCGAGCACCCCTCCTCATGCTATTTGTTACTGTCACTGTGACTGTTACTGTTAGTGTTGCAGTTACCATTACCTCTTACTCTTACTCTTACTTTACCATTACTAGCATTGTTCCGTTACTGCTACTGTCATTGCTACTGTTGTTGTTGCTGCTACTACTACCTCCTCTTACTCTTACTCCGCCTCTTACCATTACTGTTGCCATTATTATTGCTACTAGTACTACTACTACTACTACTACTTCTTCTTCTTCTACTACTACTTCTGCTGCTACTACTACTACTACTACTACTACCATAAACATTAACATTACCATTGCTAGTACTATTGCTATTACTAGTACTAGTACGATTACTATATCTATTACAGGTACTAGTACTGGTGCTTTTGCTAGTACCAGTACTAGTATGCGTACTAGTACTAATATTAGTACGAGTATACAATTACAAGTACAATTATTATTAGGCTTCGTCGTGCTCTTATTATTGCTTGTGAACAGGGTGGAAAAGCTAATTACGCAGTTTTGACCACTGCATCCACCACGAGTGCTCGAACTGCCTCCAAGAGGCCAATGCCCTTTTCTCCTCATTCTCCACCCACCCAGCTTCTTACAACAAGCAACTATGTCCTTCACGGGCTGCTGCATAGAGGGCTTTGCACGTTCTTTTCTTGCACCTCCAACGTGCCACTGTGGTGATGCCGCGGCTCAAATCAAGCTGGTGCCCGGCTCGGAGATAACAGCGGCCAGGATTCCAAACGTGCCCGTGCCAAGTCAACCTCGGCACTCGGCTTCTGAAGCTGTGCCTGAAGCTCCCGGCTCTCTCAATGAGGCTGCGACGTGACGAGGCGTTGCTAAGCTTTGATAATCTCCAGAGGCGAGCCAAAACAATCCAGCGTTGCAAAACACCGCTCAAGTTTGTAGACTACGCCACTCGAAAAGACGCGCACGCAGATCGCACGTACCCTTTGATTCATCAGGCGATCTCAGACCATGTGCCTGACACAAGTGCAACCAGCAACTGGGGCTCTTAGACCCGTTCCTTGGCTGCTCCCATTTCGAACGGAACGCAACAGCAGCCCAGGCCGTGCCAGGCAATCCGGCAATTCGACGTCAATGGGTGCAGAAACATGATGCCCGATGTTGGCTCACTTACATCATACAGCTCGGGAATACCGGCAACTGGCAAAGCACTGCGCTCGCATGAGTAATCGAAGGCCGCACGGCCCACATTTCGTCCCGGCTGTTCTGCTGAGAGTCAAGCTCGCATTCAAGAAACACCTGTCCTGCTCCTTACATAAATTCATTAAACCAGTTGCACAAGGTGACTTCTGTTGATTTGCCTCGTTGAATCAGGACATATCAGGACCCTACTTTCGTCTGCAAGCGCAGTGGGCATTTCAATTCATAGCATGATGTTCCACACTTAATGTGCTGCATTTCCTTTGCTACCACCTTCGCCGCCGGCACTACGATACTGCAGGTGCAACTGTGGCTGGCCGTGCTGCTACTTCTGCTGCTGCAGCTCCTGTACGACGGCGACAACCACAAAGATGACGACAACTGCTGCTGCCGCTGCCGCCTGCTGCCGCTGCCGCTGCCGCTGCCGCTGCCGCTGCCGCTGCCGCTGCTGCTGCTGCTGCTGCTGCTGCTGCTGCTGTGGTGCAACTCCTTGAGCAGCTGTATGGCTATCCTTATTATCATCGCCATCATCTTGGGCTGTTGCTGCTGCCGTTACAACGACGCATCGACGACGACGACGACGACAACTACTACAAGCACCCTATGACTGCTTATGTGCAGGCGTCGAAGTCTACCGCTGCGTTTTGCACATTTGGGGAATACGTGGCTTTTCGACTTCCACTGCCCGTCGCTCTGACCAGCTGCATGACTATGATATCCCTATCGCCTCAACGAAGCGCTGTGGATTTGCTGCCGTTGCAACTTTCTAGACTGACAGTGTCAAAATATCTTTCCCTGTCGTAATTATGACCAAAGCTGCTAATCACACCCTCCTGTTTCTTGACTGTGTTGGCATGCGGCGGGCGTCGAGACGGTCCCGTCGCACAGAGGGGATTTGTACCCCAGACTCTGCTGAATGCCAGAACCAAACTTTGCAGTAAAGAGGTCCTGCGGATGCGTGGGCTTTCCATGGGTTTCGAAAAGGGTTCGCTGAGTCGCTGCTTGTGCCTGTGCTTCTTCACCCGACGCAGCAGGAGTCTCAGGTGAAGCGCTGACGAAAGCTGCCAGACGACTGCACGGCCTTGATACTCGCGCAGATGTCTAGTCCCAAGACGCAGAAAGTTAACGCCAATGAGCTGAATGAAGAGATTCGAGACAGCTTCCTCCGAACATCTGTCTACACAGGAATCCAGCAGCTTACTGGGCACTGCTCTGTCCATACTCAGCCCAAGCTTAAGCTTGAGTCGAGGAAGAATCACCATCTCAGCTCAAACCAGCTGGCCCTGTCTTCGCGATGCGAGCTTCGTGATCGAAGCTCCGGGGATAGGCTGGTTTCACTTCACAAAAAAACTACTTGTTGGCTCGCGACAAGCCACGAATTGGAGGCCAAAGCCAGCAGGCGCGACTTCCTAAATGGCGGCAAGACTGAACAGATGTCTGTGGGTGAAGTCGTAGCTTCGTACTAGGCGGGCTGAGCATAGGCTGTGGTGCCTACTTTTTCAACAGACAAGATGACGAAGAGGCATTCTGGCATGGGCCAGGGGCATGAAAGCAAGATGACAGAGCCTTAGGTCTGGAATGAATGGGTCACCAAGATGCGTAAAACAAACTCTGGCTTCCGCATGAAGCAATGTGTGATAGTCGAGCCCATATCTTGACGGCATTGTGCGCGTCTGCACAGCGAGCCTGCAAGGCTTGCAACACCTGGAGAGGCCGCAACTTGCCGAAAGGTGCTCGATGTTCAGGCAGCACCGCATCTGTAAAGCTGAGAGCCCTCAACTAGAATGAGGGCCTCTCAATCGCAGCTATCTCAGGCGAATTTGCACACGAGTCATGTCGTGCTCTAGACACTATACATGCTTTGCTATTGGCTACTCTTTTTCATAATTTCCGGGAAGTTCCGTCCAAACCTTCGCGTGGCCGCCACAATGATGTGCCTGCCCACCGGTGAGCGCTGCAGCTTCGGCCAGGAGGACGCCAAGAGCTTCACTATCCTCGGCTCTCGCTGATTTGGCATGTAGAGGTGACATGAAACTGTCGCATGCATTGATGTTTGTGGCCCCTGTTGCTCCCGAGAATGTACCGAAAACCTAGCACGCATTTTAGAGCGAATCCAGCTCTGAGCGACATCTCCTCCTCGTCGCTGCAGCAGCACTGGATCACACCTCGGGTTGGGACGGATTGCACCATGCGTCGAAAACTCGTCGCATATGTTTTCATTAGATCAAAAGTTGGGTGTATGTCGTCAGTGCATGTCTTCGGCCTAGACTGCTACATCGTGCCGCACTGCTGCACGGTCTGGCAGGCCCCCCTACAACAGCAGCCATAACTCTTGCTCGATTGGAGACATAGCCGCGTTGTGCCAGATAGTTGCCGAAGCGATCCAACAGAACCTGCGGAGCCAAGCTTCTGAAGGCTCTTGTGGGAGATGATCAATCTCCACCCATCTCTCAGTCGCTCTGCGCTTGAACCGCCAACGCATGTCCTATCAAGTGTCAAACCGTCCCTGAGTGCCAGCCCAAAACCTCTCCTGGAAGCATCCTGCATATCCACGGAATTCCACATGCAAATAGTTCATGACGAGAGCTAAAAGAGCGCCTGGCTGAGGGGAGCTTTGCCCGAGAGGTTGCTCTGAATCAGCTGAGCCTGGCACATGCTGGCGAGGAAGGTTGTACAAGCACACCAAGCAAGCTGCAGCAAGTGCAATCCCCTGCTCCTGCTTGCTGGCCTTAAAATAAATAATTCGGAGCGCACGGCAAATCGGGTGCTTCAATGGCCCGGACTTCAGGACTCAGCAAATGGAGAAAGCTGCTAGCCCCAGTCTATTGGCAGAGGTGCACCGACCCAACACAATCCTTTTACAAGAACCTATCCCGGAAGGTGGCCATCAGCTGCTTCCGCGGCAGCCGAAGTTCTTCGCAGCTGCTCGACACCTGACCAAGGCCAGGGCTCTGCAGGCCTTGTGACATCTTGGGACACGATGCAGACGTTTTTCTGTGAGGGTCCCATGATTGCTAGGATGCGGTGTTTTTTGACGCGTTGCATATATCGCGCTTTTGAAGGTTCTGTCTAAATGAAGCGGTTCTGCCAGGTGAGGGCCAACTCAAAAAATCTAATCAAAATCGACGGGAATAGAAAACATAACAAAGAGTCTGGAGTCGGACAAAGCTGCCTGAGGCAGAATCGGAATAAAGAACCGAGCGCGGACTAAACCCGAACCCTTCAGCACGAGCTTCCATTCTATGCCAGCGAAGACTCCCTTACAGCATAGCCTCTTCGCCTCGCACGAAGGATGCAACCGAGGGAGCGACAGAAACAGTTTCTATGCCAAATCTGGACCTGGAACGGCGGAAACAGCCGTCAAGTTGGTTACATGATCAAAGATCTTCTCGTCAAAGCCTTGCTTGGCCGAGGACTGCTGCAAACTTGAACCCTGAAACCTAAACCCTAAGCTCATTCTGAGTGACCTCCTATTTTCCGAGTTCGGCCCAGCTGGGGCTTGGGCCCTAACTCCCCCTATGCCATGCCCTATGCACGTCGCCTACATACACCCAAACAAAGAGCACCCAAGCACGCACCACCATCAGAACCCGAGCTCCTAAACCGAACAAATGAAAAACAGGAGTGAAGCCCGGTGCACTTGCGCCTCCAGACACCGCTCGAACACCAGTGAGGCATGCCTTGCGAAGCTGACGCGGATCATGCTCCTTCTCACGTGATCCAGGGGCCTGACTTTTTTGAACAGGCCTCTGGCTCATGCTGTAGGCTATAGTATAGCTCTACTTCTGGACTACTGCAAGGAGATACTAGCGAATTACTACTGCTAATTCTTATTCCGACCTCTGCCGCTCTTCAGTGAAAGGGGGGCACCAAGGCTAAAAGGCGACAGGTCTTCTGTGCTTAGGCACTTGTGCTTCGCAAACTTGAGGACGTTGGTACCGAGGACATCCAAAATCGCCTCGGGTTTCGCCGCATGACCAACAAGGCTTCATTCAGCAAATCACCGGTGGTATAAGTCATGACGTTTCAGAGCTTCCGTTGGAAGGCCGAGGCTGAGATTGATGTCCGATGGGGTTTAAGTTAGGTCTAAGTTGCCTGTGGCATGTGACCCTCGTGCAAATTGCTAGCAGTAAAGAAGCTCTAAGCATGTGCTAGAAAGCCCCTTTGCCATATTGCATCTCCAGCGGCTTTCACATGATGCACGGTGCCATGTACCAGCAAAGCACGGAGGACATTGCTGCCAAAGAGGTCTTTCAGCAGCTTCTCGACATTCTCCGCGTTGCCCAGCATGGAGTCAACCAGTTCGATAAGTTGTGGCTCGCGCGAACAGTGCTCAATCAAACGCTGCAAGACACGGCAACCATAGACATGAACCGCGACTGAGACCGCATGGTCCTTGAGCTCCGTGATCATGAAGACAGCCAAGTGAGGCTCCAGCAGCTCAATGCACTTTTGCAGCACGAAGTTGGCATGAAGGTGCTGGCAGAGGCTGAGGACTTGGCCCTGGAGCTCCGAAACGAAACACTGCTGAAATTCCGGCATTGCCTCTCGTAAGGCAGCCTGGACGACCCTGCAGCCGAAACGGTCTTTGGTAAGGCGCACCAAGGAGCCCTTCAAACAGCTCGACAGCGCATTGACGGCAGAACTGAGCTTTAAGTCCTGGCAATGGCAGAAAAGCTCACTGACAACGCCAGCGCCATAGGGGTGACTGGCCAAGCATGCCACTTCGGGGAGAAGCGCCGACACCAGCATTGGCGCTGCAGTGGGGTTGGAGCTGAGAAATTTGCTGACAACTTCGGTCCCATTCGGGCTGCGAGCCAGCTTGGCAACACAAGCCTCAGTTGAAGACTCCAGATACATCTTGGGCACCGACTGTGCTAACATCTGAACGCAACCTTGCTATGTGCTGCCCGAAGGCTACATCCGAGATCCGCGGCTTTGGGCACGGGGCCGGGTCGGCCTGTGCCACAAAGAGGCCTCGCTCCAAGAGGGTCAGCGCAAGTGGCCTGTCAACAGACCTCAGGCTCACGATCTGGAGAAAAGAACTGCCTGTGTGACAACCTCTTGCCGGCTCGTGGTCTGCAGTATGGATGGTAGGCAGTCGCGACATGTGCCTTTAATTCACTTCGGGACTGCTTCTTCCACCCAAAAGAAGCATTCATTGACGGCTGTGCTCATCCCACAATTTCTGTGGTCATGTCGGCAAGAAGTATGAAGGCGTGGCGTTGCCAAGTTGGGCCTTATCCTTCGACGTTTCGCTTTTCGCCTAAGCAGCTCGCCCTCCAGAATGAATCTCCCTAGCATGCTCCAGCTTTTGTTAGCGCAGGAAGTGGCTTTGCAATTAAAGACAGGAGAGACGGAAGCAAAAGCAACCCTTGCCACCCGCCAGGGACTCGAGCCTCTCAAGCTGGTACTTGAAACTCACAGGTAGGTGGCCAAAGGTCGTTCCTGCTGTCCCAGCCACACAAAGCCCGGACTCGCCATCGGCACCGAGGCTGCTTCCTTTCAGACAGAGAAGAGGCTTGCAAAAGGTGTCAGTAATCACTGCTCCCACCCCAGTGCCTGCGTCTTGTCCGCAAGAACAGCCCGTGTGGCTAGGAGGCCAGGTGGCAAAAACACTGAAGTTGGCATGGCTGACCTGAGCCAGCTGGCTGATGCCCCACGCAACCGCAACTCTATGTCGTGGCAGTCTTGCCGTGCAGTAGTCATTGCAAACAAAGCATCGCAAGAGGTTCAACGACGGCATTTTCCACAAAATACCTTCCAATGGAGACAGGGGGGCTCTTGGACAACCCCGCAGTTGCAGACCGGCAGCTAAGAGCTAAAGCCCTAGGGAGGCCTCTTCCATGCAGGATCACCGAGGCCGCCCACGGCACCTTTTCAGGGGTTTGGACCCTTTCGTGCCCTCTGCGTGCAACGCCTTGGCTTGTGTTTCAAAGGGTCCAAGCACGGAAATCTAAGCGCACACGGCAGCACCCGTTTACCGACGGTGGGCCTGGTGCAAGCATACCAGGACAAGTGGCCGATGCCTGGGTCGTCCAATAAAGCACAACATCGCCACCGACTGAACAAAGCCCTATAATGCTTCCCACACCCTGAGCAAATTTCCTGTAGCAACCTGCTGCAAAGCCACGCCGGTCGGTGCGTGACGGGTCGGCGCTGCAACGCTTGAGCCGGTGAACGAACACAGTGCGACGCTGAAGCGACGATTACAGTAGGACGGAAGTGGGGGTTAAGTGGGGGTTAAACAGCTGGTGTTTGAGCGTGTTTGTGGGGTTCCCAGATACCTTCCATTTGGAGGTATGCAGCGTTAGATTCGATGAAGGCTCGGGCACCGACTATAGTTTTGCCCCAACTAGCTGGCTTGTTGAAACACTTCGCACTTTCGCACTTTGATGGGCTTTGTCTCCTGGCGAAGTTGAATATGATGAGTTGCTGTTTGAATTGCCAGGCTTGGCGTTGTTGGAGAGGCTTGCCCGAACAATAGACTTAGCAATGTGCCACGACTGCAGTAGCCTGCCGCAGATGTTCACAGTATATGGGGGCCTAGCATGACTACTCAACCACTATGATTAGGGCGGTTCTGCACGGGAGGGAGGGGGACAGAGAGAGAGGATCAGGCGCAGACAATGCTTCTGGCTTAGGACTGATGCAGGTTTCGGGCTTCTGTTGTGAGGGTCTTGCCGCTCACACCTGGACTGTCCAGACGAGGCATATACAATACCGGGATTGAGGGCCTTTCTCTCCTATGGACGGTCCGATTGCACCGGGGGTTCCCGTTTACTTCGGATCTTCGGTTGCAGCGTGTCCATTGAAATCATGCACGTCCCCGACATTGTGCCATAGCGTGCCCCAACATCTTCCCACGTTCTGTGGCCTCGAGATCCTCCCTCTCGGGGCAGACAAGCCACACCCTTTCGGGCAGTGGCACTGCACAAGCGACCTGCGTGGGCAAGGAATTGACTCTCACCGCCGGCGATGCAGAACCCTGAAGCAGCAGCTGTGAGCATAAGTTTGTCTTTTCGACGGGCCAACGCGCGGGGCTGCAGATGGCGTGGAGTTGCGCACAGTCGCTCGAGATCCTCCAAGGACGCAAAGAGCTGCCAAGGCCACCGGGCAAAACTCTTGCAAGGCCTCGTCTGGACAGCGAGCCCGCATCAAGGACAGCCGGAAGCTCTCCTCTGTGTCCTGCCCGCCGCGTCGCACTCACTTAGAGCAGTTACGGTCTTGCAATGCTGATGGGCTGTCCTTCTGCCAGCTAGCTGCAGCTTCTGCAAATACCCGCTTTTCAAAGGCCTGGTGTGGCTTTCGGTGTGGGTTTCTGTGAACAGACTGTATTTTCGTTTGAGGCGATACAGCGAGAGCCTGCGCGTCCGCTGATGCAGATCCATCCAGCAAAAGCCGCGTAGTCTCAGCGACGAGACTTACACGGCAAGACTATGCAGCCTTGCAAGCTACACACACAAACATATTATATATATATATATACATATATATATATAGATATATGAACTCACAAACACGAACTTCGACGCCTTCGCTCTATCGATGAACAAAGTATGTAGTAAGACCAACCCTGATTTCACGTTGCTAGCATGCTGCAACTTTAGTCCGGGTAGCCATTGGCAGCATCCGACTGAACACCTGCTCTTGGTCCATCGCGACATCGCACGGATTTTGTCTGGTGCCTGCCGTGAACTCGCAGCGGCTCATATAAAATTCTGCTAGTCAGCTCCCTGAAAGGGAAATCCTGCCCGTCCTGTGAAGCCACTGGACCGCAGCAGCAGCCCGCAGCTTGGGGCGACAGGGAATCGGAACCTGGCTGCTCCAGGACTGCACGTCGCCCAGACACTACGTAGGATCCTTGGTGGCAAGAAGCTGCTTCAGCCACTACCGACCAAGAGAGGGGTGGGCAGATCTGCAGGTGCTTCGACCGTTTGAAAGGAGAATCGGCAGTTCTTGTAACCTCGATCAGAAATCAGCAACCTGTGACAAGCAGCTTGGCAAACAAGCCACGGCAACAGCAGCAGCTCAAGAATAGCAGACTCAGTCGATGACTCTGGTGATTCTGTGGCCAAGTGAACATCAAGGACCCCACCCCAACATTTCACACTGAACATGTCCGAATGCACGCCGCATGCCTGGCTGAACTGCACAGTGCGGCCCGCAGCGAGGGCTCAGGCCTTCTGCACAGAGCGTCTTGAATCCGATCGTCGAAGACAAGGTCTTGGCATTTCATGGCTGGCATCTTTGTTTCGAAGTTCTGGACTGCAGGGGTATTGTCGCACTCGGCGAACAAGGAAGCAACCATTTTCGGTTCTCTTCGTTTGTATTCTGCCAACTCGAAAATCACATGTTTCTTTACGACTGCCCACCTGGGCACATGATCCTTCACGCATGGCACATTGCTTCAGGAGTGTCTGCAGGTGGATCATCTGATGACATCTCGATGCAAATCATCGAACGTTTGGCAGATGTCAACCGGTGACCACATGCGACATCATGGAACGGGATGCAGTCACATCATGTTCCAAGCCCCTGTGCTGAGCTCCTGACAAGTAGCCAGCGCTGACAGCTGCAACAGCCCCAACGATGTACCGGATCCTGGCTTCTGCTGTGCTTCTGGCATTCTCCTCAATCCCTACCCGCTAGCCCTCAAATGCACGGCGCACTGATTATACAGGAAGCGGTTGCCCTGCAAGAGAATGTGGATGAAGTCCTCGCGTGCACACCGAGCTGGATGGCATAAAGCGGGCGCGGCATGCTTCAAGCGGATCGCTGGCAAACTCGATCGCTTCCTCTGCAGGGCCTGGGAGATGCAAGACTTGGGCATCGCACGCCTCAAGTTTGGATTCAGTTCGGCGGAAGGTGTCCACAGAGTGCAGCGTTGGCTCTCCTGGCCGGTCGAGTGTGATCATCTGCACTTAGCAACGTATCTAATTATCATTCCGAGATTGAGCTGTGTCCTGCCCTCAAGTGAGCAGCGAGGCAAGCTCCCTTGCACTTCGACCGCCGCTGGACCACTTGTAGGTTCTCTGACATGAATGTCCCAACAAGTGTCGTGGACGGCTCCGGCTGCCGCGCAGACGGGTGAAGTTGTGGAAGCAGTGTCGACCAACAAAGACTTGCAGCAGCCTGTGCACGGATTGGAGGGCCTCGGTTGCTGGGCCGTGCCACTGCGGTCGCGTGCCAGGGGTACTCCTGCTGTCAAGCGACAGCACCGCCAGTTGGTGTCGCGTCCTGCCATCATCGCACCGAAGATCTGCAGCCTTTGAAATCCTGCTCGACATGGTCTTGCCACCTGGTGAGTCAAAACACTGGCAGGTAGGATGTAGTCGTACTCACGCCAAGAGCAGGAATACCTCGGCTTCCACCCAAAGACCCACCGATCGCATCCGATCGCAAGGATGTGAATGTTTGCACATGAAGATGCCGCCGACAATGGTGACAATGGTGGTCGTGACGCTGCTGATGACATGCAAAGAGTTTCAATCCCACACAGCTTGTGACTCAAGCAGGACACAGCGTGTTCCTAGCCCTGTCTTGCTGGCTACGGGATAGATTGCTCTACCATGCAGAGCAGATGCGCCCCCACGATCAAAAACCTAAACGACCCGGCCGCTTCAGCGCGGACCTATTCCAAAAAGTCGGGCACCAGAGCATGGAAAGAAAATCGGCGGGATGGGAGAAGCCGTTGCGATGAAGCCAGTGCTTTTGCAAACCGAGACGGGACAAGGCATCGGGCCAGAAGGAACTGAAGGGACTTGTTCAGTGCGAATAGCAGCTTCTCCAAGTTGGGTGACAAGAACGGCTCCGAATAGGGCGAGAAAACATAGCTCGTGCAGATTAGCCTCCGAAGGCAACTTGTAGCTGCTAGCGCCTCCCGAGAGCTCTCGAGAACCGTGAGACACGACCGCATCCGCCAGCAGTATCGGAGCTTGTGTCGCCGCTACTGCAGAGTGGCTTCTTGCCGATGCGGAGTTCGGACTCCTTTGCAACCGTGCAGCTCTGCCCACACCCACACATCCACGACCGCATGTCCCCTGTCGCCTTTTTTACGCACCCGGAAGGTATCCACACGGCCGCCAACCGATCGATCGCTTGTTTGAACGCCCTGCTCCACGCCGGGCAAGGAAGGTGGCGTCCCCCCTTATGGCCGACGCATCTTTGAAACGGACCGACGGCACTTGCGCGGACCGACGCACTCACTTTAGCCTCCCGGAAATACAATACAAAGCCCTTGCCGGTCAGAGGCCTTGCAGCTTTGCAAACGCTGAGCCCCATTCCCACACAGCAATTCGCACGAAGCCGTCCCCAGCCTTCAGCCGTACATGCTGATTGCAATCAAGTTTCCGAGCGTCGAAGGTTGCGGGAACCAGCCGGGCAGCAAACACCACTACATCATCTGGCAGTAGGTCCTTGGTCGAGGATCCATGCTAAAGCGGATGCCTTGCCGAAATCCCGGGAGCAGGGAGTTTCAAAGGACAAAGGTTGAGAGTTGAGGGCATGTTGCCCTTTTGCCTGGAGATGCCGAGCGTCGTTTAGCTCCGACACGAGCCATGGATATTGTCCTGCACTGGCCACGACGATGATAAATAGGCCCCCTTGCTGAGTTTCCTAGCTTCGTCTACTGCTTCGTCTCGTGCCCTCACATCAGCTCGGCTGTGTCCCTTTTCATCCGGTCGCCCCACAGCCAAACGAGCCGTGATGACCAGTCTGCAAGCGTGGACACCAGCATCTGTGCGGCTGGAGTGCCTTCACCACTGCCAGATGAAGCTTTTGCCCATCTTGCAACTATACACCAGCCCACCTCCATTCTGCATTGCGCTCTAGGCTTGTTGCCTTGGATTCCTCCAGAGCCTGGAAGTGGCAGCATGCGCAGCCTTTACGTGACGTGGCAGGGAGAAGTCACTGGGGACCAGACGCCGGAGGACAACAAGGCCCCTCGCAGGAGCCACTCGATGGTCACAGCTTGGGTGACCTCCTTGCGTTGTGCTGAGACACGGTGCTGCCTGATCATCGCCTGTCTGCCTCCGCCTCGTCATAGTGGATCTGCAATCCGTGGTATCTGGAGCCAATGAAACCAATCACCAGAGCCACCTGGATGCCACAAACATTTCAGAAGCTTCCACCAGTAGCATTCAGTTCCATAAGCCGGGGAGACGAGTGTAAAGTCTAAACAAAATACAGCACAATTGTGGTGCTTTTGTGTTGTCCGTGGATTGCACTTCTCGCTCGGTTCGGCTGTCTGGACAGATTCATCGAATGCTCTTGTGCCTCGGTACTCCAAAAGTCTGGAAGACTTGCGTCTGGTTCGGCTGCCATGACTCCAAATTCTGGGTCTGCTCGCAAAATCTGGATCATGTTCGCTCTGGCCCGTTGCGCGCCTTCTGGTGAGCCACTGTGGAAGATCTGGCCTCGGTGCAGCCAAGGTTGGACGGAGACCCCGCCTCGAAGCGCATCAGCCTGCCTCTCGTCTCTGTGGGTTGCCAGCACGGACTGCACGTAGCCTCCCTTTGCCTCTGCGAGTCCAGGCGTCCAGACAGGAATCTGAAGCCTGAATCTTAGCATCACAAACACGCCTGTGCAGCACGAGGCCCAGCTCCCTGGGTTTTCCTGGATGCTCCCGGCATGGCATGCGAGCCTCGTCGCTGCAGCAGCATCAGAGCAGAAAGCCGAGACATCCGATTCGTTGTAGCGCCACTGAAAGCCGAATCTGTCCGTGGCCTTGCGAGTCATGGATGGAAGCGACTCTCTCGAGCTGATTTAGGAGCAAAGTGTTGCTTCTGAGCCTCTGATGCACAGTGCGCACATGCAGCCAGGGCAGCCGGCATGGCTCACTGGGCATGAACATGGAGCCGACTGTGTGTACGGCCGCTTTCGTAGACACTCTCTCATGCAGCAACGTCACAAAATGAAGCATAAATTCCTCTCGCTGCTAACTGCCAAACCGATTCCTCAAAGAGTCCGCCACTTGTTGCACCAGAATCACGTCTCAAAATCGCATCAGAGTGGGGTGCCGGCACCTCGAGGTCTCCCTCCGTCTCGGCCGTCATGGAGATGCCCCTGATATGAAGGCACTCCACATCTGCCTGACATCCAGGCTTTCCGTGGCTCGTGCATCTGCTGTCAGCAGGCTGTCAGCCAAGTAAGCGCTTGGCAACTACGAGGACGGAAGGTGCCAGTTGCCACGCCTTGCTTTCACCACGAAGCACCACAGCTTTAGCTACCACGTGATAAGCACATGCAGCAGCTCGTTCATTGATTACGCCGTCACTGGGTCAACTGCCCCATCCACAAACTCCTGCCACTTCTCCGTCTCCTGCCGTTCTACCAAGCATCAACGCCCTGATGCAGGCACCTTAAGCCTCCGAATCGAAGGATCTTCGAGATGCCTTTCTTGCTGCTTCCTGTGAAGTTGGAGCCTGGGGGAGCCGGCCCTGATGCAGGGCATTGGAGGCCAGGAGCCCGGTGTTGGAGGCGACCCCTTCCTCGCCTTAAAGCATCTGCACCAACGCTTCACAGCAAGTCAGCTCTGGGCGTAGGCTCCATCATATGCCGCACAGGTGCGATCCGTCACGAACCACCGCCCGCCCGATGTGCTGTAGAGCCTCGGAAAAATGCCGAGGCGATTTCAGGGGCAACTTGCCCGCTGCAGACTACTTGTAGCACCCGTCTGAGCTGCGAGGCCAGCCAGGGCCTGCGGCTTGCTGCCACAAGGCCTGCAGCAAGGCGGGCCATTCTAGGCACATGCGTTGGGGTCGTTTAAAAATGAAGCCGCCAGAAAGCTGACTCCCCCAATAGGGTGGGGTTGACTCGAAAATCTCGAAAGCCCCGGACAGCAAGCATGAGCTAGCCAAGTTAACAACACAGGCCATCCCGATAACCTTCTGTGTGTGCTGGCCTCAGATTTGGGGATGTTGACGGTGGGATGATTTCAACCATTGTCACAACAATTGTTGAGAATCATGCCCGCTCACAAATTATCAATCAGCTGTTGGAAGCAATGTCATCCTTCTCGCAAGAGCTGGACCATAATTATGTCAGTATCTGCCGTTGTGAAAGATCTACGGGGACCGAGCGGGTGAGGCATCAAAAAAAAACTAAATAGACATCAAAAAAAAACTAGACGGGAGAATCAAAAAAAAACCTAAAATAAGCA